CCCCACATGTTGTCGGAATTTTAGAAGGAGACGAAATGCACGTGTTGGATGTACCGACAACACAAGAGCTCCTCGACACAGCTTATCCACCCCTTCCATTTTCGAGGTCTCTCGGAGAGGTTTTGTCCGAACCCCTGTTGACCATCCATACTTCAGGCTCAACAAGACTACCCAGACCTATGACATTCACGCATGATACGGCAAAGAAGGGGATGAAGATGCATTGCTTGGATGCCCCTGAGGAATACCAATGTTTGAATAAGGTTTACTATGGGAAGCGAGTGTTTCTAGTTCTTCCCCCCTTTCATGTATGCTTTCCTTCGGGCCCAGGACTAGCCCACCTCTCGTGCGACTTGAGAATAGAGCTAATACAGTGCAGGGTGCCTGCTTGGCTAGCCTACTTCTAGATGCCCTACCATTTAGCACTGTCATGGTTGCCCCACTTTCAGCAGCGATCCCATCAGCCTCGGGACTCGTGGAGGGTATAAAGCAAAGCAAGGCTAAGGTAGCCATCGTTCCTCCATCGATTCTGGAAGAGCTGGTACAAGAGCCTGATCTGCTAGAATACTGTGCCCTAAGCTTAGATTGTATTATCTACTGCGGTGGAGACCTCCCACAACAAGTAGGGGACGTGATCGCAGTTAAGATTCCCTTATACAACCAATACGGTTCGACAGAACTAGGGCTTTTACCCATGATTTTGTCCAATTCTTACCGCAAACCAAAGGATTGGAAATATCTTGAATTTCATCCAGATATGGGCTTAGAGTTTCGATCCGCAATGGATGATCAGTATGAACTATGCATGGTTCGTCAGGATCTCGTGGAGACACAGCAGCTTGTCTTTACATACCCTGGTTTCACAGATGCAAGCGAATATGCAACAGGAGATCTTTTTGAGCGCCATCCATCACCCGAGAAGTCGGGACTGTGGACGTGGCGTGGCCGGCGAGATGACATTATCGTCCTTACCAATGGGGAGAAGATCAACCCGGTCGGCATGGAGCACTGCATCACATCTGGCAGCAGATTAATTTCGGCAGCTCTAGTTACAGGATCACAGCATTTCCAACCGATACTATTGGTGGAGGAGAAAGATGATGTGGGTGAGTCAGAATCTAAGGATCGTGACGCATTGTTGGAAACCATATGGCCCATCATCCAAGAAGCGAATCAAGTCGTTCCCGCATACGCACGCATTGAAAAGACCCATATTCTGTTTACTCAGTCTGAAAAACCAATGAAGCGTTCTGCAAAAGGAACCATTCAACGCGCAGCGACAATTGAGTCATACCAGCAGGAACTCGAAGCACTTCATGCATCGATTGCACTTGTCACTTCCATTGAGGACGGGCAATGCATTCTTAATCCTGACCAAATGTCACGCCCCGAAGCAGTGGCTAATTTCATCAAAAAGACCATCAAAAAAATTACGTGGTGGGACCACTTAGATGAGAGCGAAGATCTCTATGTTCGAGGAATGGACTCTCAACAAACTCTAAGCGCAGTACGGATCCTCAGAAGAGGCTTACCTGACACGGGCGTTTCTCCGGTCATGCTGTATACAAACCCATCTGTTGCAGCTCTAACAAGGGCCTTGATTGATAAGAGCTGTAATAATGGCAAGGACAAGCAACAGTCTACGATCGATAGAAGACTCGCAGAAAGATACCTTGCCCTAGAGACGTATCAAGAAATGATCGACCGAATTCCTCGGGCGGGGCCTTCGCAACAGCGGCCCGAGGGGCATTATGTTCTAATCACCGATAGTATGAACGGGGTAGGACCATACATCCTCGACACGCTTCTCAAACATTCCTCGGTCAAGAATGTTTACTGTGTTTCGAACGTGGAGGATGGTCGCGCAGAGCAACTATATGCTAACCGATGTCGACAGCTTGAAATCAATCTGGATCCGCAGAATGTGACTTTTTTGAAGGTAGACCTATCCCAGAAGGAACTCGCTCTATCGCCTGGTGGTTACGGGGACCTCCGAGGAAGCGTCACTATGATTGTTCACACTGCGTGGGCCAATAACCTCGTTTGGTCCTTCTCCTCATTCGAGCCGCATCTAAGAGGCCTAGTGAATCTCCTCGAATTATGTACAGTTGCCAAAAATCGTCCAAAGCTATTTTGGGTGTCTTCTATGGCCGGACCTCTCAAAATGCATGGCGACTGTGCAGCCCTTCCCGAGCAAACTGTGCAAATGAACCGTCCTAGCATCAACAGCTACGGTGAAAGCAGATACGTTGGGGAACAACTCCTTCAATATGCTCATGACCGGCTTGGTCTGGAGATCTCTATTGCTCGCCTTACTTACGTTCCAGGCGCAACCGAAAGCCCATCTGTATGGAGCCAAAACGACTGGTTATCAGGCCTAATTGCCGCTTCGTTGCAGATGGGCACACTGCCGGGTTCTCTGGGACAACGATGCAGTCACGTCGACTGGATCCCCATGGACCTGCTATCACACGTTCTCGTCGACCTCCTGATTGAGGATACTCCCAAGGATGATACGGAAGCAGGGCAAGTGGGTGGTATTGCCACCCCTTCACTTCACGTATTCCACCCTGTAAACCTTCACCCCATCGACTGGCGCGCTGTTCACGATATCATCATCGACGAGACACAGCGCATCACTACGCGGCGACTCAAATCCGTCACATTTCAACAATGGATACGGCGGGTCCAAATTGAACAGGACTTTCAAATGTCCAGTCCGGAACATGTACACAACCCAAAACTAGTTGGACAGGCTGAAGCACCAGACCCGCCAGTCTTGCAGCAAAGGCTGTCTGGTATGCATTCGGCCATGCGTATGTTAGAGTTCTATCTAGATGTTTTCGCTACTGATGCGGTCTATGGATTACCGGCGACAGCAAAGACCGTAAAGTCGAGTGCTATACTAAGAAGCATTCCAGCGGTTCAAGATGGGTGGATCCGGAAGTGGGTGCGCGAATGGGTGGAAGCTTTTTCCTAAGTACCTGATGAGAGTTTTCCGTGTTTTCTTGTTATGTTTTTATCATCACTAGCCCTAGTCTGCTCCGAAACTATGAATTTGTTACATTGTCCGGGGACATCGGAGACCCTGATTTTCCTGACACTCCCAAGCACATCGGGGCCGAAGATAAGGTGATCTGGAGAGTAAAGGTCTCCAGAGAAGCGAATTAGGTCCTTAGATAGATATCTTGCGTAGTGTTTAATATAGCAGGCTGATGGGCATAATGCCGAGGCTCTTCATTACATTTTGATAAAGATGCCATGACTATCTGCTTATCAGGTTTCTTGATCGCCGATCGTCGGCCGCGAATGCCGACCCCTCATTATCATCCAGCGCTTCCCCTCTTTGCCTCGCCTCCTCATCCATCTTTCCTCCTCTCGATTCAATTCCACCGTTCTGCCTCATTCACCATGGCGTCCACTACAGATATCAAACCCTGGCTCCGTCCAGACCCTGAATTTTATATTCTCGCCCACGCCAATATTGTTGAGGTCGCAAGCGGTACAATATTGGAAGATCATTACGTGCTGATATGTGAGGGAGTGATTAGTGTGATTACATCGTCTTTACCTGGTCCGCCACCCCCGGAATACACAATCATAAATTGTAATGGCATGTACATCTGCCCAGGTCTATTTGATGCCCACGTGCACTTCGTCGCCGTTCCCGGCTTCAAAGATCTATCCATGGCGTTTGGGAATTTCAACGATGTATCCCTCCTGCGACAGCCATACGTCGCCACACAGATGCTCTACCGCGGGTTCACGAGCGTACGAGACTGCGGAGGTGCACAGCTGGCCTTGAAACAGGCAATTGAGGACGGCGTGTTCCCGGGGCCAAGATTATTTATTGCCGGACACGCCCTGTCGCAGGCAGGAGGCCACGGGGATATTCGCGCTGCGCACGACCACGTGCAATGCTGTGGAGGACACACCAACGGGCTCGGGCGCATATGTAATGGAGTGCCGGAATGCATGACAGCGGTTCGTGAGGAGATCCGCTCGGGCGCTGATTTCATCAAGATCATGGGCTCCGGTGGGGTGTCGACCCCGACAGATCGGTTGGACCAATTGCAGTTTACCAAAGCCGAGATCCAGGCTATGGTGGAATGTGCTGAGAATGCGGGCACTTATGTTACAGCGCACGCCTATACCCCGAAGGCTATTATGCATTGTATCGACAATGGTGTAAAGGGGATCGAGCATGGTAATTTCATCACCGAGAAAGTCGCAAAGATCATGGCGGAACGAGGTATCTACCTGACTCCGACACTTATCTCATATGCGCAGATGGATTCTGAACGTTGGAGGGGATATCTCCCCCCTGATGGGCAGGCTAAGAATACCGAGGTCTTGAGTGCTGGCATGCAGAGCTTGAAAATTGCGTCCGACGCGGGGGTCACTCTCTGCTATGGAAGCGACCTGCTTGGTCCTCTGGGCATAGCACAGACTGGGGAGTTTGCGCTCAGAGCGCAGGTTCTCAGCCCGCTGGCTGTCCTGCAGAGCGCGACCATCAACCCAGCGAAGATGATGGGCCAGGAGGAGCGTATTGGCCAAATCAAAGAGGGGCTTTTGGCGGACATCCTTTTCCTCAATAAGAATCCGCTTGAGGATGTCACTATCTTCGACCGGCCAGAGGAATGTGTCCTTGGAGTAATGAAGGAGGGTCGCGTGTACAAGAGTCGTTGTGAGGAGCTAATGGAGGATGCGCACATTCCGGTGAGGCTGACGCCATCTAGACAGTAGTGTTGTCTTGTCTGGGTGCTACCTTTCAACATAAACATTAACAGGCGCATTATTGTACAAGGACCTCTTTACTTCCTCGAAAGATACGTAGAGCAAAGAAAGTAACGCGACCGCAGTTCACCTTCCCGAGACACTCCCACCCTTATAAGTCTACTTTCTTTCTCACATTAGAATCGCAAATCTGTCCCCTACACAATATGAAATTCTGTCTCTTTCATAAACATGACATTTCACATAATACCACTTTATTTACACCACACCCTCCTAAGAAGAGCAAGCCACAAAGTCATCACCACTAGCACCCGTATGCGTAATCACACCCGCCAATTCATCGTCTCCGTTGAAAATCACCCGATCCGCTCCGGGCGAGCCACCAGTATAAACATCGTAGTCGCTCATGATAGGATACTCGTAGTAGGTGCCGCTAACAGGGAAATCGAAGCCCTCATAGTCGTGGTACTCATGCGGGTAGTCGTCAATAGTATCTCCAGACTCGTAAAGAGAGTATCCCTTGGCCTTAGCTGCGCTGACATCGCTAGACCAGTAGCAGGTGCTTCCGCAGGTGTACTCGCAGCTTTCGCGGCTTTCGAGGTTATTCCTGGCGGAGGGAGAGGCGAGAGAGGCGGAGAGGAAGAGGGGAAGAAGGGCGATGATGCTCTAGTTTAGATACCTGGTTTAGCTCTATAATCTCACAATGGCGGGGGCTTTTGGTCCGTACCTTGAATTGAACCATGGTGACTGTCAGTGCTGTGGCTACCGCCTCAACCTATTTACAGAGGGAACTGATGTAGAGAGGATGTGTCCGAACTCCCAACACCCCCGGACAAGGCGACCTATTTATCCCTCTATTACAGGCCTCCTCTTGCAGGACCATCTAGTCGGAGGCCTCCTATCAATCAGGCCATAAACAGGATAGCCAACACGGCACACGGCAAGGACTCCCAACTCCGAGGTTACATTGCATCCGGAGCAGCCGATAAGATAGCATCGTTCCTGGCACGTTCTTCCAGTCGCGACAGCCACAGGATCCAGGGTCTGTCGATCTTCACCCGTCAGGGCATTCCATCCGAGACCCTAGATTGCTTAGCGCGCTCCACTCGTCAGGAACTCCAACGGATCTCCCAATGGCGTCCGATAACTTTGGCACGGAGGTGGCCGAACCAACAAATGTTGCTGAAAGCTGGTTAGAAAAGCATTTGAGGTTAGGACTGGCTTATCAGCTGGGTTTGGTTTAATGAAATGACGACGTGAGGGGTTGCGGACCTCGCGGGATAGTCTTTATCTTGACTCGGAGGCTAATATATGTATAAGTTGTCTTTCCCAGGCGGTGTCTAGATTGTCATTCTGGTGCATGATTAATTCGACACACACTATATTTATTAGCTTAATCACAATTCGACAATGCACATGTCAGTTGTTTTTCTTCCGGACATGGTAATGCTTCGGAGGGCATTATGGTGACTGGTTTAGACTGGAAACACTAGGGAGCAAGTTGCCAGAATATATTAATTAATTATTACTAATTCTCGAAGACGCTAAGAGTAGTGAGGGATCGCTTCAATGCTCTAGGGATGTAGTGGATCAGGAAACCGGTAAGATGACTGCGCTTAAAAGATATCCTTCTCGGAAATGCGTCGAAGACGTTAGCCAAGACTGCCACTTTCGCCAGTACTTTTCATAATCGACTGTCGTGACCGAAAATCTTCGACTCCAGCCTCTCGCTTCAAGTTGCCCAGCCATACAGGATTATCTGCACAGGTTTGGTTCCACGGATCGTCACAGGAATAGACGGTCATGCGAGCCATATCTTGTAACGTGGAATCGGGAGGAATAACACCAATCTCCAGTTGACTTTTGATATAATCTGTAAGTTCACGTTCCAGGATACGCCAGTGATTGACTTCCTCGACGAGATACCTCCCTGCAACAGGGGGGCTGTCGGCCTCAAAGCTTGTCTCCAGCGCCTTGGCGGATTTGGCACTATAAGGATTTGTCGTTAACCGCTCCTGACCGACTAGATATGGTGGCATAGCATTTTCCACCAAGCCTTGTATGGCCGTCTCAAATCCCCAATCTCCTTGCCACTGGCGCATGTCCATTCCAGCCTTGAAATGTGTCGCAAGGTGTTCTACACGCTCTGTCCAGGTGTTGAGATTCGTGTCACAAAAACCACATCTTGATTGTATCTCACTGATGCTAGTCTTCCAGCTCTCCATCCATGATCCAAATTTGACATTGTGAACGAGGCGTAGGTGTTGATGGAGATGATCCTTTCGGGAGAAGGTTCGCACCTGTCGGCCCTTCTCATGGCATAGATAATACTCATGGAGATCTAGGTGCTTCTCGTCCGGGTTGATGGCCAGACACAAGGCGCACACGTTGTGGCCGTCGAGAGGGACAATACCGCCAAAGGGCGAGCAGGTCCACTCCTCTAGGGACAGATGAAGGGACTTTTCATGTCGCTGCCAATCATACTTAGTTTTAAACGTATCAGTACAGAAGGTACATTGAAAACGACGAAGCCCTGGAGCGTGAGGTGAAGCTAGATTGTTAGGAAGAGCTGGTGCGTTGCTTCGCTGCTGGCGGCGGCGGCGATGACGGCGATAGTTGCTTTGACCTGGCAAACTAGAGCGCGGTAATGAGCGCTGGGAGAAGGCAGATGCAATCGATATACTAGAGCTGGAAGATCTACTGGTTTGGTGGCTGCCAACAGATGGTGTTTGGAAAATATCCCAATGCCCAGGATGGGAATCTTGGCTGGTCCCGGAATCTAATGAATGTGCTGTAGAATTCACTGAACCTGTCGCTAGTTCTGCGTGAGAGCCGGGTGGAAGGTTCGACAGCGCTTGAGCTATGTCGCTCGGTGCAGCAGGCTCATGTTCAGGTGGGGAATATTTCCAGCGCTCGAAAGGTGTCATCTGCGACACAGATTGATGCGGGATGTCAACAGCACCCGGTGGTAACGACTCATTCTGTTGTAGCGTAGACAATCGAACCTTTTCCCTACGTTTAGTGTTTGCAAGCCAGTTGCGGAACTGAGCCCGCGTTAATCCTGTGCGCTGCAGAAGCTCTTCGCGCTCTTCTTTAGTTGCAAGCGGACGCTCCTGGCGTTGGTCAAGCCAATCTCTCAGAATGCGAACTATCTCTCTCGGATAATAATGAGATTTGCGCTTGCGCCCATCCTGTTCGTACTCTGCACCGGATGCAAGCGCCGAAGGAGCGTCCACAGCCCTTTCACCTATGAAAGCTCCTGTATCTAGAGACGCCATGCTCCATGCTTCAGGGCAGCTGGAATCATATAAGAACTCAGGGGAAATGCAATCCGCACAGACAAATTCGTGTAGAGGATCATTCTGCGTTATAGATGAATCTAGACTTATTTGCCCGAGGGAGTCGTAGGTTTCTGTAACATTGTGCAAATGAGGCATATGCTGGTTGCCATCGAATCGTTCGCCCACTGGATACCGGAGACTTGAAGGGTCAAAAGATAGAACTCCTGGGTATGAATCATGCATCATAGGGCTAACTTCGCCCGAATCCAAGTAGATTGGGGCCACATCTTCCTCATGGGAGTGAGAGCAGTAGCTGAACGGTGGCTCGTGGAGGTCTGAGTTGACCATTAACTGCGGTATGTTTCCGGACGTGAAACCGACTCCAGGCGGTAAATGAATGTCAAAGAATCAGTTGTAATGGAAGGGAAACAGGAACATGTGATGATGTTTCATGAAAGGCGATTCAAGTTATCTCAGTGTCCGCAGCGGGGTTGAGTCAACTCGCAATCTGCGGGCGGCCTCGGTCGGGGACTCGGGGCAAAGTCGGGGCAGCGATACCGAAACACTCTTGCTCTTTAGCTAGCTACCAGACTAGTACTAGTAGAGAGGAAGGGAAGTGGAGCGTCTATTCAAGCTGGACTCTCGCTCTGTGCATTTGGATTGGGGGCCGCAAATCCTTCATTGAGGCCTGAGGCCGCAACAACATTCCCGCAGAACTTACCCCCTTCACCGCCCAAAATAATCACTGGTTCCTGGGGCTGGAATGGCTTAAATCCGCTTATATCCGAGGTTTTTGCTCCGAGGTTCGCTAGTTTCTGCCAGTTCTGAGCGGTCTATAGGGCGGTGAGGTCTGCACCCTCGCTGAGCTTGTTGCTATTACTACTACTTAGGGCATCACTCTCTAGTGGTAGAAGGCTCTACGTAGCTTTGGGCTACGCTGGAATGCTTTGCAGCTCTGTGATAACTGGAAGGTTGTTTGCTTCTCGGTATGTCTATAGTGCTTAATCTACTGGAAATTCGCGGCTCGAATGAATTAGTATATCTCAGGCCATCTGTTCTACCACGATCACCGAGTCATTGGTCGGTTTGCTTCAAAAACACAGGGGTCGCATATTGTCTATGGTTTTTGACGGGGATGTGGTGAGCAGGTCCGAGATTAAGCACTCGAGACATTGGTTGGAGCTCGTCTAGTCTGCGACGGACCCCGGGTGGAGCTATTTACATAGTATGAAACTGGTGCCGAAGAAAGCTCGACATCACTGGTTTTTTTTTTTTTTTTTTTTTTTTTTTTTTTTTTTCCCTCACAAGAGGGTTTTTCGCCCAGCCTTAAGTCTGAATACTCTTCTTACCTTCAATCCAACAGATCATCCATCATCCGTTCTTGCTCGGCTCGGATCTGTGCGACTCCGCCTCACTCCTTCCCTTCCTCCCCGGATCCTGTCATCATCCGTTCCCCAATCTTTCTTAACTCGCCGGATCTGTACGCTGAAAATCATCCGGATGATTTGCCAACACTCTGTTTCAACTGCACTCCTATTTTTCCATAGTTGAACACTGCCTTCACCCAGTATGTACACTGTTTGGCGTTTTCATTGGAGGGTTTGGGACAGATCGAGTTGGGCAGGATGCTGTTCCTGCAGCGTTATACGTAGTCTACTTTGGACGCAAGCCTAGAATGTGTTTAGTCATGTCTTTTCTCGAGCCTATACAAATAAATTCCAGAAATCTCTTTCAACTGGAATAAGATATCTTTCTATTCCCACAATAAGCGTCAGGGCTTATCTCTCTTAGACAATGACTGCCAACTCGGCGCAGAACGTTTTCACAACAAAGTCCGCCGCTGAGCCAGAGCAAAGCATCACACCCAATGTAACAGGGGAAGTCTCCTCTAAGGAGATAATCGCTGAGAAGCAGAACCATAGAGAGCACGACGAAGCGCCCCAACTAGCGACTGAGAAAAAGTCCTTTCGCTTCTTTGCGATCATCGCGGCGCTCGCGCTCTCCGGACTTTTGACTTCATTGGAGGCGACCATCACCTCCACTGCTCTCCCGACCATTACAGCAGACCTTGGGGGTGCCAATCTTTACGTATGGGTGGTCAATGGATTCTACCTTACTCAGTACGGACCGCTCACCATACACACTGTGTCTCGGCTAACGTGACATTATCGCAGGACAGCATTTCAGCCATTATTCGGCCAGATCGCCGACATCTACGGTCGCAGATGGCCGATGATAATCAGCACGGCGACCTTTACCCTAGGCAGCGGCATATCAGGCGGCGCCAGCAACATCGACATGCTAATCGCCGGTCGACTAATCCAAGGTATTGGTGCAGGGGGCATCAACGTACTCATCGAAATTATCGTCTGCGATCTGCTACCCCTTCGCGAACGAGGCCGCTACTTAGGTCTCATGTTCGGCCTCATCGCCATCGGAACCACACTGGGCCCTCTCTTCGGGGGCCTCATAGTCCAATATACCACCTGGCGCTGGGTATTCTACCTCAATGTCCCCATCGGCGCTGCCGCTATGGTAACATTATTCCTTTTCCTGCGCGTAAAATTCGACAGCACTCCCGATTACCTGCGGCGCTTGAAACGCATCGACTGGCTCGGTAACACCCTCTTCGTCCTCTCTATGATCTCCGTCCTGATCGCTCTTTCTTGGGGTGGTAGCCAATACCCCTGGTCTTCCTTCCGCGTCATTGTCCCCTTAGTCCTTGGCTTCGTTGGATTCGCTGTCTTCTTCCTCTACGAAGCTTCCCCGAGATACTGCCCGAACCCCACCATGCCGCTACACCTTTTTGCTAACCGCACGTCCGCTACGGCCTTCGGCCTCACCTTCCTGCACAGCCTTTCCGCCATCGCGGTCATGTACTTCCTCCCTGTCTATTTCCAGGCTGTTCTTGCTGCTTCACCCAGCCGTTCGGGCGTCCAACTCCTCCCTACTATTCTGTTCATGATCCCGGCTGCCATCACCGCGGGCGGTTTACTCTCCAAACTGGACCGCTACCGTCCCATTCAACATGCTGGCTTCGCGTTCATGATCATCGGTTTCGGGCTGTTGACTCTGCTAAAAGCTCACGCGAGTACGGGCCAATGGGTCGGATTTCAGATTCCTAGTGCGGTGGGGACAGGTCTTGCCCTGCCTGTCCTCCTTCCTGCTGTGCAGGCGTCGCTCACGGAATCAGATACGGCGCTCTCAACTTCAACGTGGGCGTTTATTCGCAGTTTCGGGCTTATATGGGGTGCGACTATTCCTACAGCGGCGTTCAATAATCGGGTGAATGCCTTGTTGGGGAGGGTTGGGGACTCCAGTGTTGCGGAGCAGTTGAGGGACGGAAAGGCATACGAGGCTGCTACGAAAGCTTTTATGGATTCGATTACAGATGCAGTGACGAGGGCAGAAGTGGTTAGTGTTTATGTTGATGCTATTAAGACGGTGTGGTATGTTTCTATGGCTTTCGCTGGGTTGGCGTTTTTGCTGGTCGTTGTGGAGAAGGAGATTCCGTTGCGGAAGGAGTTGGATACCAAGTTCAGTATGGAGGAGAAGGAGAAAGATGGGGGTCAGGCAAGTCAACCTGCTCCGTGAGGGAATGGGCCTAGTCAATCTTCTATCTATTGTGATAGAATGAGTAATCATTCGTAATGTATGAGTTAATTATGCCACGCAGCAAACTACCTTTGGTCTTTTTGACCATGACCCTTTGGATATATCCGGTAATATAAGCAGCTCAGATGCTAAGTACGCTAACTCTGTCCCATCTCCTAGACGCAATGCCTAGAAAACGAGGGCCTGCGAGACAACCATCTTGTAGAGAGAGGTTGCAGGCGCTAGGAGCAGAGACCCAAAGTCTCAATGAGATTGTGCACAGATCTGCGCAGATGAGTGTCTGGAGTGGTAGGCCCGTGCACCAAAAATAATATTCCATCCAAGTTCTTGTGTATTCATCTATGATTCTACTATATATAAGCTCTACAAGTGAGCCTCAAATAGAGAAAAAGAGTCGAACGTAGCCCACACGCATGATTTATTCACTGGTTCGCAGCAACATATTGTAGATGTTCCAGGTGAGAGAGTCAATATAAGGACGTATGAATACCGGGAACGCGGAAAGGCAAACAAACAAAGGCTTTTGACAAAAGCGGACAAAAGCGGACAAAGCCTCTTTTGAAAGCAGTTGAAAGGAAGTAGCATTCCCTACATGTGAGCAATTCATGTCTTAGAGTGGCTAGCACTTCTCTATGATTCACTTCGATAGCTAAATAGGAAATTACCTGTGACACGCGGAGTTTAGTCAAGTGCATCCTCAAATCTGGGGACTTGAACCCCCTGTGGGCTTTGAGTTGGCGCTATACTGTCTCAGGTCGTGTGTCTACTAGTGATTCTAAATGTGTGATCAATTTTGGATTATGATAGGAACAGGTGAGAACCTTTATCAATCAACGAAAAGTCCCAGTCAATGGTAGCTATGAGTCCTGCAACCAAGTCTGGTGACTGTAGAACAATAGGCCTAACTGTTATGGTTAAAGTTAGCAGTGACTAAATCAATATTGACCAAGGCACGTTCCAACTATCAGTACTAGGCACATACTCTATGAATAACAAATTATATTTCACTATGAAGACAAGAGCTTTGTGCTAGTCACTGGATGGAAACCATATATCTCAATGAACGTCTATAAATAGATCAACCATTCATCTTCCATATTTCACTGCCTGTCAGTGCATATCAGTGCAGCAGCTTAACCTCGGCAGTTACTTATAATCACACTGCCGTCACTCCATCCTTCTTTCCAATGCACGTGACAACACGAAAAAGGAAAGCAGTCACGATGGCAGCCCCCACCCAATCCCATAACGCCTTACCCGATGGCTTCAGCGTCACTACTATGACTCTTGACCTAAATCGCGCGGAGTTCAAACATTTTATACGCGCCAGCCAAGACGTGCCCGGAACTACAGAGTATTGGTCGGCTCCTCCAACCTCCATTCTTTGGCTCAGCTGTCATCCCCACAATTCTTACTACGACAGGGACGGCAAGGGCTGGGAGGCTATTGAGAGAAAACATGTTGCGACGCTAATCCGCGCCTTTACGAACATCCGAGCGAAATTCCCGACTCTCCAACCGGTGTACGGGGTTATAGCCATTGGGGTGGATCTGCGACTGTACAGGGAGAGGCTGAACACAGAGGATGAAGCCGAGGATGGCAAGCTTGCGGTGGAACAGTTCTCGTTCAACGAACAAAACGTTTTTCACGATTATAAAGACATCGAAATAGTGAAGCAGTGGATGTCATCCATCCCTCTCAACTTTGAGCCGGATACACGTCTTAAGTCTGACCTTAAGGAGCTCTATGGTTGGGATCCCATTTTCATCGATTTGTTGGGTATGTCTTGGCTGGATTCAGATGAATCTGACTAGCAGTTTATACTGCCGAGTGAATCCTTCGTGCTCTTTGCCAGACCGGTCTACGATAAGGCCCTCTATTTCCTGACAGATTTTGTTTCCGAGAGTATTGATTTACTCTGCGTGTTCGGAATAGTAATGTGGAACGGGACTATTTATGCTAGGAGATGGTAAGGGAGAACTGGGCGAAGTTATTCCTCATGTTTTGATTTCCCCATTGTGTCTACTTACTTGTGACCAATTGTGAGAGTTGCATGTTCAATTATTCATATTCAGCTGTCCTGAGACAATAATGATAATGTTGCGAAAAGTCGAAACTGCCTACTACATAGGGAAAGTCTCGTCTCTGTCCCATTTATCAAGCACCTTCAGTTCCAGATCAAACGTAGTAAACCCCTTCTTTAACATCATCAATAGAGCGTATATGTCCGGCTGAATATCATTTTCGGCCTTCCGATGATTATATTCCAGCTGAAACGCCTCCAGCGAATAGTGGGGTATATTGGGTGGACACACGAAAGGCAAGCGGTCGACCTCATCGATCGGCTGCTGCAACACGACAGTCTTCATCAGAGGGAACAACACATACTCCTTCGTTCCTATCTGACTCTCCAACACCTGTCTCAGCTGAGTCGCTAGCACAGGCAATATTCCCCGATCACAATCCTCCAGAAACAATCCTTCCAGACTCAAAGGCAAGACATCCCACAGATTATTACTCGCCCAGACATTGGCGAAAAGGCCGTTTTGAGGACTGCCACCATTCCGCACCACTGTTAGCAGATTATCCACACGAATCCGCACCTGCCGTAGCGAGTGAAATACCCCTAGGTCTCCGATAGGGATTCCTGGAAGGTCCTGCGTACGTCTCTCGTATTCCTTCATACGGAAAGATCTCTCGACAGTCACCCAGAGTTCTTGAAGGGAGTTGCAAGACGCTTCAGTCAGACCAAGGTACAGCTCAGCTGGGTTCAAAATATGGATCGGTGTTGAAGTAGCGACATGCTGTGTTTGAGCAACGGGTGATCCCTGGCGCATTGAGGTATTGATCCCAGCATCCTGGTTGGTATGATCGGTGATTACTTGCGTATTAACTTGGGGTAGGCCGCTGTCATTGTGGCGGTAGATGAGGGACTTGAGCTTGGGGAGGCGTGTAAGGAGGCTGGGGAGTGTTGCAATGGTGGAGCAGCCGTGGAGGGTAAGGTGCGTTAGGTCGGAGTGGAAATAAGATTGATACAGCGGAAGGATCGGGGAAAGAGATGATGCGTCAAGCAAGTCGGTTGCATCGCCTTCTTCTGTGGTTGATGGGAGTTGGTAGTTATCAATGGCTCTAACGAGGCGAACCTTCCGTATTGAAGGGAGCTGGGTAAATGGTATGAAGCTAGATAAATATGAGCAGTCAACAGGCATCTGAGGGCTGAAGTTCAGCTCTGATAGCTGGGTAAGACCTGTGAGAGGGTCATTTGGGTCAGTCAGCCGCGATAGAATGGACTGCAGGTATGGCGAATTTGCGTCAAGGTATTTGAGCTCCAGCTTGCGCAAATTGGGCAGTTGGAGCAGCAGGATGGAGAACCATGCATCTTCACGGCCGGCTTCCAGTGCTTCACGCCACCAGCATACCTGGTCAGGAAGTGTCTTGAGAGATTGCAAGAGGGCTTCGAGGAGCACGGAGTCGAGAGGAAGAGGCGTCTTGGGAATTCGGCCAACGAACAGATCTTCTACACTAAGGATTTGAATGGCAGATGCAATGTGAATATACCGACATGTGTTCTGTGTGGCAGAGACAATAAATGGAAGATATGGGACGTTCTCAAATCTTGGGAAAGAGCCTGTGTGGATATGGAACGCTTGGTGCACAAGGGGCATGAACATTGTATAGAGTCGCCAGCAGACCCGCAGCAGAGGGCTAATGTACCAGCCTTGGTCGTTGGAGAAGACACTGTGGGCCGCGGGGCCAAGGCATTCCCAAATCTGCAGCAGCACTATATCAGGCAAACGATCAAGCATTCTAGTATGCTGTGGTTGTTAATGCATGTGGGTTCTAATGACTTCGTAGGTCCGGACCTGCTCCGTCCCCGGTTTATATATTGTGCGGATAGTAACAAGCCGGGGGCCAGTTGTAGTGCACCCAAGGCAGCAATCCCATTGTAGTGGCACCATAATATTCATGCCCTTCGCCTGGACGCACTGGTACTCACGTTAATTAATCCAACAAGCAGTTCATGTGCTTTTAGAGAATGCATCTTCTCGCTCCGCCAATTGTAGGACATTGTATGCCATTGTTAATGGGGTTTACGTACGTCTGAGTATGAAGTTACTAGGTTGCTAACTGAAACTGAAGGGGAGGAAATGACTTTCAATAATTCTTCACTCTGTGTTTTCAAGCCTTCATATGCTGCCTAGAGAAAGTGATACTGATGTCTCCCGGGTTAATTAGGTGCCAAACTGAGACAGACTGAAGGGACTTTTCTCTCTAGAGTATCATTTCTGCCACATCCCTTGCTTGATATAGATGGAATAGTTTGGAGTGAATATCTGAGACGATCGTACGTTTGGGTAATTTCATTTTGTTACATTCGGAGGGGGCTATCATCCACGAGAGAGGTGAACTTAGACTTAAATTCTACTACAGCTCAGTTTGGATATAATCATCGAATGAGAATTGAAGGAGTAGTTAGCATGGATTTAAGAGTTGCAGGAATCAATTAACTATGCATCTATTACTGCAACCTCTTCCTGGCGTCACGGTTCGGGAAGGAATGTTCCTTGCCTTGTCATGAAATTTCCCAATATTGTGTAATATGAATAGTTCAAGGTCTTTTATTGTAGGCCATTCATTTCAGCAAAACAGTGGCACCAGACCCATTCCAATGTACCTCCTCTGCCCCGCGTGTTTGTGTGACTTTATCTGTGAAACTTTGTCAAGATCATCCTTTGAACTTTTCATGTGCCGGGCCTACACATCTCATGCAATTAATGAAAAATCCTTGGAGAGAACCCCCAACATACAAATGTTCATTTGTCTCTTCACGCCTTATTGTGTCCTCATTATGTTCATTCCCCAATAGTGATCCAAAAGACCGTGTCATTCCTTGTGTATCTGGCATCATTCTATACGATCTAAGGTCATGTTGAGAACCAAACAAGGAGACTCGGCGCAGCTAACGGGGCACTTTGTGAGAATGTCCAGTATGTCGTTAATATCCGTCTCTTTTCTACTTGTTGCTAAGGCAAGTCGCCAATAAAAGACGGTAGAAGCCTCTATGAAAGAATATTTAGGCCTGTTTGGCTTCGAGTCTCCTTTATCCGACTTTCTCATTTGCTACTACTAATTACTGGGAGACTCCGACCCCTTTGTTCCTGGTCTGCAGATGGTCAGTTTAAATGACCAGCATCTTGTCGTTATCCAATACTATGAACCTAACAACAACAAAATGTCCACCAGTAATCTGCCAATCCTGACGAAGCCAAACGGCTCTACTTCCAACCAGGTGACACCAGTCCCTGTAGAGCCGACCCGCAGCCTCACTATCCAGACGAAAAGGAGGATGTCGATCCCACCTCCGATTGATCCACTCGAGCAACTGGTGTGCATAATTTGCATGGAGGAATCCATCCCTCCACACGTAAGGCTTACTCAATCGTCTCCAACAGTCACATCCGTTCTAACACTACTCTCCTAGATGCTCTCTGATATATTTAGCGAAGCATACGCGAGCGACCGAAGTCTTCCCCCCGGTCTGATACTCTTAGACACCAACATTATACACGCCCTCGATTCCCTGACTTCCGAATCAGCCAGTGTTCCCCCAGTCGACGACATGTTCTGCTCGCCTTTCGTGGGAATGGATGTCGAGCAGATAACGGACGTTATAACCAATACCTGCCAGAAAAGTATCCTCAGTACGAGGCTATTCTTCCTTGCGGATGACCTGACGGCCGCCACAGAAACACTCCGAAAAGTTGAAGTTGGCAAAACATTGGATTGGCATAGTTCTCGGGTCCCATGGAGAGATGCGAACATTATGGCTGCCAAGTGGACTCGCGGATACGCTTCTGGTATGATTACCAATGCTTGCCATTGAATCTTCTGAGTCCTCCAGATTTCTCATGAGGAATGTGACGCTTCTGGCGTTTTGATAAAAAGGATACTGGAAGGCATATTCATGATACCAAGCGTTTGTTTTGATATACTTAACTCTGATTTTATAAATGGGCCACCATAAGAAATGAACGAAGAGGAACATGGCCAGGTAATAAAAGAGTAATAGTACGCTAGTAATGTTTATATGTCAATGCAGGTATACCAACTATTCTCATCCCCTATCTTCTCAACTACATCGAACACCCCCGAACAGATTACCCTGCGACACAGAACGAATGCATGACAACCATGCATGGTACATGAGGCATAATTCGGAAGGAACGCTTCCCTACATCAGATTGGAGAACTACATGATTTTGTAAAACTTTTCACAGGCGATTTTCTCCCAATAATGGCTTCATAATAGAAATATTGACTACCCCACAACGCTCCTAACAGCTCGAGCGAAAGCAATCAGAAAAGTGGCTGATGACCATGCTTTTCTGCCAGCAATTGCGCCGAAGCCGCAACAGCCGCATTGCATCCGCTAGAAATGGCACCCGCAACCACCTTATACGGAGTGATACAATCACCCGCAGCAAAAACGCCCCGAATACTGGTCTGGTGGAAAGGCGCCGCAGCAGCTATATCCCCGGTACCAGGAACAAAGCTAGGTGCAAGTTCCAGGCCCAATTGAGTAGCGAACGTGCTCTTGACCTGCGTGTTGGGATTATGCACGATAAACGCCTCTTCGACCTGGCTACCATCGGCAAGCTGGACTAGAACGGAGGCCGAAGTACTCAGAACATCCCCGTTGAGTTCCAGACCGGTGATTTCACGGTTATCGACTTTGAACACAGTATTGCTGCCCTGACTGGCCAATGTGGTAGCCAACTGGGACTCAAGAGCCTCCTGTCCATTGGTATAGATTGTAACCTGTTCGGCCAGCTGAGCAGCATTTTCCGCCTGATGCATCGCCATCGGCACATTTGCGGCAGACTGTATGGCAAGGACGCCTGCCCGTTTTGCGCTGCGGTCTTCGTATCCTTTGCAGAATAGGCAGTGAAAGCTATAGGAAAGACTTAGTTGAAGCTTCGAAGCAACGAAAGGGAATGGTAAATGATGGCGAGCTTACATGCGCTTTCCCCAGGCATCGGCGTAGCCGGGTATGGGTGGGAAAATGTCCTGGGATCCAGTGGCAAGGATCAATTTTCTTCCTTCCCAAGAATGCCCACTTGCGTCGGTTACCCTGAAAAGACCGTCCTCTCCTTTCTCCGCCTTTTCGATACTCGTGTTCTCCAAGCTAATGGTGGAGTAGTTTGACAGAATCTCCTGACGAGCCTGCTCACGAAATTGAGCAGGATCTCTGTGGTCCCATGTAGGGATCATGTGCATGAATGGGGAATTGCCGTTGCGGTATGACTGGTTATCGAAGAGGATCGCTGTGTGCAGTTGACGCGCAAGAGTGAGAGCAGCTGTTAAGCCAGCGGGCCCGCCGCCAATGATGAGAACATCAACTGGGTCGGAAGACATGTTGATTGACGATGAGTTGCTTAAATGAGATAGCTTGGAGTATGGACAGATGTTTGGGATTGTACAGCAGAGAAATTTGTGACGGCAAGATGTCGTTTAAATGTCGATCTGTTTAGCGAGGTGGGGGGTGGGAGCGGCGCTGTCAGCATAGCTACCACGAAGACGCTAAGCGTCCACTTATTGCAGGAATCGCATCCCTGCTTGTAGACAGGATTAATACACAGAGCATAAGGCACTAAAAATTCCCGCACACCCCTGTCGACCTTCCGCATTTGTGGCCTCTGGTACTCGCGCTAAAATACCTGGGATGGATGGCGGTTCATTTCCAGGCCGAATAACGCCGATCAGACATTCGTATGGAGTACGAAAGACATAAATAAGGGTGCAAAGCAGCTCTCCCACACTAGCATCACCAAGTCGAAAGAAATCCTCATCAGGCTTTCTCCTTCCACTCCACACAAGAACAAGTATTCATCTTCCACCGAGTAGAATTCACCCAAATCCCTGCGCAAGTAACTATACCCTGGAAGGCCATCTTATACGAGTCTGGCTAATGAGACACAGACATCATGCCTGGCCTCGTCGTGATACTCCTGACCTTCTGGCTGTCTGCCTCCGGAATTATGGCGAGCCCTACCCCTCAACTCAACGATGAATCTCCTCGTAGCCAATTCGGTTTTGCTGATGTGGCTGAGCCTGCGAACTGTTGTCTGTGACGTTGTCTGACAGAGATTTGCCTTGAGGGGCTGCCAATAGCAAACAGATGAAAGGCGAGAGAGGTGATTGGTGAAGGGATTGGCGCTAGGCTATGTGGTAAAGAGAATAAAAACTTGCTCTGTAAATAAAAACAATCATCAATTTGACATGTGCTACAGTGCTAAGGATGAGACTTCTTTCTCTTTCACTTCGTCCTGACTCGTAGTCATACTAGACCGTATTGTACCATTCACATCAGACATACTTTGTGTGCTTAGAGCTCCAATATTATAATAAAGAAGTTGATAAGGCTTTGCACACTCTCATCAGGTATAAGAAAGGGGGAGGTGGGGTCAGTGCCGGAATACCTGCACCAGGGTGATCGGTAACATAATTGCACAACTTCTTTACTATTACTTCCTAATGTGCCAGTACCTACAACGAGCCATTCCAATCTCGCTCTTATACTCTGTTCTTCCTAGAAACTCAAACATACTCTACATACAGTGCTAATGGCCTAGAAACCTCTGCTTGGTGAATTCTTCGCTCTTTTCGGTGCCCCTTACCGCCTTCCTACCCTATCTTCCAGCTTCTGCGAAAGTATATTCTCCACGCCTTTGGATCACGAGTTGTCATCGATGTCAACAGAAGTCTTATGGAGCTTGATCATTCACTCCCCGGCCATGGGACCCATTCCTCGTCATATCCAAAGAAGCTCCTTATGATAGGAAGGTAGGGAGAATCGTTGGGGCAGTACTTGAATCTGTCCAGATTGGATATGTGTTCATCGGTGTGTGATAGCTCCCGATAGCATGGACTATGTTCGTTTACAAAAGCATCCAACTTCTCCCAATCCCGACACATTCGAATTTGTCCATCACCAGGCCGAAACCCAGTCACTGCATTGTGAGGGACATACCTTGGTGTGTCATCTGCCGTGCATAACGTCTCCAGCCTGATACTATCAAGGCAGTGCAGAATATGGTCGTATGTGATGCTCTGTGGTTGATTATGGCGGTATTCCCGTATGGAAATGAACACATTTCGCTGAAGCTGTTAGCAACTGATACAATAGGCACTGGGAATGGGCCATAGACACACATACCACACAGTGAAGAATATGATGGGAGTTGAGAATATAGATGCTCTTGCTAGCATCCCAAGGAAATGGCTGTGAATCTGGGAGCCCCTTGCGCTTTGCGTCGCCGTTCTCGATGGCGATTATGCCACGCTCCCAGGGTATATGTTTATCCCACAGTTCATTTGTATAAGTTTCATTTGTAGAATTGCTATACTCTGTGTTCCACCATAGGGTATCCTGTTTATTCCATTGAAGCTTCCCTATCTCAAGTTAGCAAGTTCTTTTTACATAAAACAGTGAAAAACCTTACCAACTGTTGTTAGACATGAACTCGGAGTGAATACAGTATGCCAGACGAGCACGAGATTTATCAAACCAGAGATGAAGGCAAAGAACGTCACAAGACGAGTGTGTAGCCTTACTTTTGTCCTGGGATGGCCCCTCTTGGGGCTCGCGGGCACGTGAGCCTGCCCTCCGTTCATAGGAAGTAGGTGATTGCATTCTTCCTGTAGTTCCATGATGCCTATCTTCACTCCAATAATGACAGACGGATACGGGCTGTGCTTCTGGAAGAGAAGGCCGTCAGATGGGGAATATTCTCAGTCCTTTAGCCAGAAATACGCGCGGTCCTCCATCTACATGCCACCCTCCCCTTCCGCTTCCCCCACTCCACCACCGGCCCCGCAGCTGAGTCGCCTTAAATGCAAGTCAGAAGGTGCGAGGCTGTGTAATAGGATAGCTTCATGCATGATTGCCTCGCATAAGACTAGGGCTAATTGCAGCCGGCACTCAGCCACCAACAGGACGCACGTCGGCGCCGATTACAGCCTTGGGTCTACAAACAGTACTTCGGTTATGGATTATTGTCAGAAGCGAGTCACTCTTTCATGGTATGAGGCGGCCTGACGGTTATATAGCCCAAAACTCCTGTCTGCCTTTCACACCACTAGTCACAGAACCGTTTTCGCAAGACGTTTATACTTCGAACTTGTCATAGGCTCTTCGGGATACCCACGATTATCACGAACATGTCGGCTAGCAGTAACTGGACCAACCAGCCCTTCCCCTTTGCTTCGAGTGGGGAAGTACTTACAGCTGGTTTCCTCCTGCCTCTAATCTGCTGTTTAGCCGTTACTTTGCGTTTCGTTTCGAGGGTGCGACAGAGGGCGCCTATCGGCATGGATGATTGGCTCACATTGCCAGCAATGGTATGCTTATCTTTTCACCGAAAATTGGGCAATCGTTATTGATCATCATATAGGTTCTGATAATTGCTATGGGAGTGTGCCTGATTTATGGTAGGAGGCACATGTCAACGCTGGATCATTTTGTCCTTCTGCTTACATCGGCTAGGATATGCAAAGAAAATTATGGGCTACCCCACGCCATTTCCAGCCGGAAGTGACCCACAAAGCGCCATGTCGCGGTATATGGAGGCATATGAGACCGAGGCCAAGGTCAGTGCTTCACTAATGTTTATTAGGCGTGCTTACTGACTTGTCAATAGATTGAGTTCTATTATCAGCTGTTTATGATTCCAGCATACGGCTTCATCAAGCTCAGTATCATCCTATTCTATCGGCGTATTTTCGTCGTATCCAAAAATTCGAAGCTCAGTTGGGCCTTCCAAGGTCTTGTTGGCCTGACTGTTGTGTGGACCCTCGCATTTTTCTTCCTTTTTTTGTTCGGATGCAGAGAGAAGATCTACCTTCATTGGGCCCCGCTTGAGGAAGTCAACAATCAATGCGGTAATCCACTCACGGCGGAGTCGGCCCTTGTCATTTCGGACCTCATAATGGATCTCATGATCTTTTGCTTACCCCTACCAATTGTTCGTCCTGTACCCTGTCCACTGTCTTGATACGGATGTTGTCTAACATACTTCGTACGTGGTGTAGATCTGGGGCCTCCAAATGCGTCTGGGCCAAAAGGTAGCGCTCATTGGAGTCTTCTGCGTGGGTTTTGTGTGAGTATAAACTCCTTTCTGGCAAAGGGTCAGAGGATGGGACTAACATCCGTTCCCCATTTAGAGCTGTTGCGGCATCGATAGTACGGCTCGCAATTTACCTCATTGTGTACATGATTGGCCTCGATGCCGGATATGACTTGGACCGTGAGTATCCCTCGGGCAATCACTCATGAATACCCCTGGCTGAGACACCCCAATAGAGACCGTCACGACGATGCTTTGGTGGAGTATGATTGAGGCTAGTTTAGGGCTTATAGTTGCTTGCCTACCAGTGCTCCGCCCCCTCCTCAGCAATATCAAGTTTGGCCGGACTCCACGCAAGGATCGCAGTGACGGGGTAAGTGAGGAGTCCCGACAGCGCCTCTTCACATTGGAACCATATCCTGCACCCGCATTCCGAACTCAGAGTAAGCCTGGTAGCTGGACCACGCCCTCCAACCCCTCACTCCATGGAGACGTGTGACGTGGACATGACAGTAGCCAATCATGAGGGCCACAGACAGGGGTTATGTGGAAGTTGTTAAGACGATCGGCGGTGGGTTGGAGGGGGGAGAACAATCAAAGCTATAGCCGCATTTCCCTTAACAGAATCTTGCGCGACACAGATATATGTTTGTCTACACTACGGAGTACACGCCCCACATATGTGATTCATGACACATGCAGCTCGTTTTCAGTGTGATGAATACTGCCCTATCAGGTTCCGATATGTGAACGATACTAAGGCACTAGTACTTGTTGCGCGGGAGCGGGAAAGCGGCAATCTGCGGTTGTTGTCGATCAATTCCGTGGCTGGGTAATGCAGCCGGGCCTTGTTTGACCCCTGTTCCTTGACTGCGCAAGCGAAGTGCTACATGCCTATCATGCATCAGTAGTTCCCGACAAACTCGGATGAAGTCCGTGATGTCTAACTCCGTATTGACCTACTCAGCCTTGCAAAGTCCAGAGGCACAGACCGCGAGCAGGAATAAAGTGCAGATCCCGAATAACTTGCTTTTCAAGTGAACAGAGCCTTGCCTAATTGATGACATAACTATATAATGTATTTGACAAAATGACTGTAAAGCCCTCGGATTGTAACACATATGCTTTAGTATGAAGTCTTGAAGGTGATCCGATTTGCTATTGAAGATATTGGTGGCGTGTTCTAGAGCCGTGCTTGGTGTCCGTTCGTAATTGGTGCCTCGACAGTGTCTCACCGTGTCCCCCTCCAATCCACATCCATGGGGGCTTCCAACCTTGTCGTTTCGCGCGTCTCTCTTACATCTGAAGGGGAATGGGATGAGCTCATTGCTGGCTACTGGGCTTCCTGGCTGGACCCGTTCCAGGCTACAGGAGAGCTCACTTTCGCTCATTTAGGCACAGGAAGTCCGGCGGAACAGAAAGCATTTTCGAAGGTCAAAAATGATCTATTGAACCAAGCACGATCAGATCCAGATAACACAGTATGGCTCAAATGTGTTGATGTCCAACTTAAGCGTATTATTGGCGGTGGGATGTACAAGATCTATCGGTCCAATCCCTATAGAGCAGGCGCACCCACACCCGTCGCTGACTGGTTCCCCGATGGGAGCGAGAAACGGGCTCTCGCAGAGGCGATGTACAGGCAGCTATGGGCGTGGAGAGCCAAATTGATGACGGAAAAACATTTCTGTAAGTGCTTTGGCAACACGAATGTTAATAAATCAGTGCCACTCCCTAACATCGAGTCACAGGTGGCTGCGCACTTTGGACCCTGCCAGAATATCGCTATCAAGGGGCTGCAGGCCTTATACTCGAACGATTTGTGCGGCATGCGGACGAGTTCCAAATGGAAGCATACTTGGAGGGGTCCGAGATGGCTGTCCGACTCTATGAGCACTACGGATTCACCGTTGTCTCTGAGGCAAAACTATATTTCGAACCCCCAGATGGGACAGCAGGCAGTGCGGATTGGTGGCGGCTTGTTCATGACCTACAGTCTCATCCCGTCAGTATTATGTGGAGACCGGTAGGTGAGCAGCAGGGAGTGAAGTATCCATGGGAAAAGGATGGTCCGCAGTCAAAATTGTAGCTTTCAGCCTCTCTGGTGTTCATTTTCTTGATCTCGTTTTGCATTCAGATGTCTGCTGTTATAATATTTTGTCTGGCAAAGGTAGTATGGGATGGTTATCACGCATATAGTTCCCCTACGAATCAGCAATTATCAATACACATCTAGGCATATCCTTCTGATGACATTGCTCGCGGGTTTTACTTACAGGAATGTCATGGTTTCGATCGTTCCATTATTGCGAGGATCCTGAAAGTCTCATATCCATCTTAGCTTACCATACAAGCGCGATTTGAATTGCTGAGCTCAGAATTCTGGTCTTTTACCGGATGATTTAGCAACTCTACATATGAAGAATTCACGTTTTAAGTGCACCAGGAGCGGGTTTTAATCATTACGCTGGTTCTAAACTACGGTCTGCTCTAACACCATCCATTTACTAAGGAGCATGTCAGACGGCATGATTCATAGCATTGTGGCAGTTGTAATTATTTCAGTTCATATCACACATTCTTTATTAAACAACGGTTAAGAAATCATTGCCCATCCAGCTTTGTTATTTCTGTCGGGACTGAAACTATTCATATGTGTATATATATCTCAGCAGTCTTCCACTTGGACTATAGTATTCGCATGATTCGCTTTTAGTATTATATGACAAAATCATCGAAACTCTACGATGATCGAACACACACCCGAACAATGATGGCGACTTCAGAGTAAGCACTTCAACACATGATCTTCCTCATGGACTCCAAGATGGGGACAAAGATAATGGCCATCGTAAAACAAAAAATAAAAACATACAACAGAAGGGATTCGCTGGTGGTCACCCACCCAACTACTAACCTCCCGGCGTGTGGCTTAAGTACGGCTGAGCGGACGGGAAGCCCTGTTTTCCACACCCTGTGGTCGTATGTGACAGATTACTCATCTTAGGAATTCTTATCGTGTTTTGCTGTCCGATCTACTATCAAACCCATACAACAGAGAGTAGCATCTGGATCCTCTACAGTATGCCCTGATAGGCCAGGGACTCGGTCCGTTCTATTATATTCATACAGAAATACAATGGTGCTATTTGCTTGAATACATATTTTCATCGAATTTTCCATTCATCTAATATCGAAGACCAGTTGCGTAAGAATATAATGGGTATGGGACGAGTCGGTATACATCTACATGCCGGCGAGCCACAAGGCACACCGCAACCTCGTACAACTCAATAATTCTACTTCAGAAAGGTTCTACAGCTTGTTGCAGTATTCCCTGGGATTGAAATAAGCTAAAACCTATTAAAGTCACTCTGGCAGCATAGTAAGCCATCATTTGATCCTCATCCTGGAACTCACCATGTTAGGATCCCATTCGGAAAACTTCTTTGTCTCGATCCTTCATTCGTCGACTTCCCCTTACGTCGTGGCAAATACAAAGCGTGTGATCAATGACACCAGTAACATAGAACACTGTCTGGTGAACATAAAACCTTGTCAATATCACCTCAAGGCTTTCCTGGCAAGCTACCCTCTTCCATGTCCTCATCCTTGTCTTCGTCCTTGTCCTCATCCTTGTCCTCATCCTTGTTGCCAGTGGCCACAAACCCACCACGCTTGAAATCCTTCTCCTCTCTCTCCAACTCCTCATATTCCTCCGGGGTAAACTCGTAGACTCTCAAGTGCTCTGGAATATCCTCGTATGTAATGTTTTCTGTGGCCCACAATTCCCATAGCTCTTCTCTGTGCTCCCGGGGCACCCCGTGCTTGATGTGGAAGGCATATCCACAAAAGACAATTTCGGTCACATTCTCTCCGGGCTCGTGTATTCCTATCTCTCCTTCTCCTAGCTCCACATGTTCTTCGTTACGTTCGCTTTCTGGGACTGTCTCAGGATGTTTCTCCATATTCAATAGAAAGACCTGTCACACGTTCAGTGGGATGCTGGTAACCGCGGTCCACAGCGGCTATTGTCAGACAGTAGGGATATCTGGGTAGGATTACGCGAAGGGGATAACGGTTTCGCAGATTGAGGTGTATGAGGGCGGTGATTTGGTGGAGGATTCGGTAGTGTTGTCTAGATGAACGGAGTGCAAAGTAAAGGGTCAGAATAGCCATTAAATAACCTTGAAATACTCTTTAGGCAGCAGAGTTGCAGGGATTCGCCGAAAATTGATGTAACCTTTTCGGCAGTCTCCGCAGCGTGTACATTTTAGGTAACGGTATCTGCGACAAGGGTACCTCAGTACCCAGTGGCACAAAAAGAGTATTGGGAAGGACAAAAGGTCTCACTCGGTTTATCAACCGGCTAGTCAGCTTGCGGTCCACGGTGACCATGGGCGTTGTTCATTCACCTAAATGGGTAAGCCTAGTTCAGGTCGGTAGTCGATGCTGCTATCTTCCGGGATACATGTGGTGCAACGTTGATGACGGAAGGGGTTACAGGCCTATCATAACAATATTGGGGCACATAGCACGACAGAGGCATATACGGCTTAGTATGAGGCAGTCCCCTAATAATACATGCGACCTACCTATTAGCGCTGTGTTGCATACGAGGCTTTATTTTGTTCTACCAGATCCATTGAGACTATTCAGATTGGTGTCTGATCTGAGTACACTGCACTTTGCCGATAGGGTACGGGTCTAGGCTTTTGCGTGACGGTGCGAGTGGTGCAATGGAGAATGATAAGACAACCAAAAAAATGAAAAGGAGGATTGCCGATGCAGTACCTGGTAGCAATATGTGGGTCTTCCATTGTTCTTTGTGACCACTACATCCGTATTCACTGGCACTTTTGGGTCTCAGTTGACCCCCGTTTCTCTCTTATGTTCTGTCTAACTCGCAATCAGAATCTCCAAGATCAGAAAGACTTACACTATCAATGTAGTGCTTCGTGGAACATTATTCAACGAGGTTGTGATATGTGATTCTCTCTGTGCTCAATATTGTACTACTGAGAGTAGTGCCTGCACAGTGTTTGGTCTATATCAGGCGCGAGTTTCCCGCGTCAGTTTCTGGAGAAAGGCGACCTGAATCCACATCAACAATCTCAATATCCTATCTCAGAATTTTTGTTTCCTTCCTCCATTATCAGACTTTCTAGTATGCTCACCCTTTCTTCTTCGGTGGTTATTCTAACCATTATGTGTTCCTTGGCGCCTGCTGTTACTATCCGCAACTACGAAGAACGCAATTGCCGAAATATCAGGGGTAGATTTGCGGCATGTCGGAATGCAGCTGAACGTGCGTGCTGCGACAACAGACCAGCGCCCACCTTCTCATCAAGCAAATTCACCGGTCTGCCACCAACCGCCATAGGGTCTATATGCACTCACCTTCGGGGACAGAATTGTGGCCTCGTCAGGGACAGCGGTCATGGACTAAGCCTGTGTCTCAACTACCCTAAATCCCGTGGGGCATGGTGGTTCGATTGCCGTAACTGCCGAAGGCCGGATCAGCAGATATCCGACTTGGAGCTGGCCATGGCACACAAAGCGAACACCTCAGTCGAACCGGACATGATCGGCTTTGATGGACACGAGTTTATCATCAACGAGTCTACACCGAAGGGTATACGGGATACGCTTCTTGCTTACTTTGACTCCGACACAACCTATGCCGATATTCCCGAGGAATATCGAATCTACGAAGTGTTCGAGGATGCGGAGGGTTAACAGTTTTCTCACAGAACTTTTGGTTGGGCTTTTTCTGGTTTGGTGGATATTGGTCCAATTTCAATTCAACACCACTCATATCCTTATACCTGATTGACCCCGCTGTGGAAGATGCTAGCTATGCAGGTGCTTTACCGTTTGAAGCAGATAATATGGCCCGAAACGCCTCAAATCTCTCAAATCCCGTAGTATACAGATGTATCCTATGGAAAAGGCGCCACAGCGACGTAGGAAGATAGTCGCTGTCGCTATAAGCACAACTAAACGGAAAAGGTGTAGTCATACAAGATTCAGAAATGTAAAACAAGCGTCGCAGTTGACCAGCCGACCACGTGGTTTTGCCTCAGGTCGGGGCTAACTAGTTCCGGAACAGGATCGAGTTCAAGCGTGTCTCCAGCATGATTCGGCTGCTGGATGCGTATGTGTGGATGTCATCTGTAATTATTATAAAAGTAAAAGAGGTCCAGTGTAGTCAACATCGTGGACCTCGTTTTTCCAAACATCGCATCAGCTTTCATGGGGGGAGGAGCTACCGCGACATCGGCCAGGGTTTTTCCATACCACATTATGCTAATGCCACTCCCTGCTGCCGAGTTTAGAGGGCGATGCTTCTAACTCAATTTGATAGAGCGTGCTTTTAGTGCGGGCAGAAACCTTCCAGTCTACATCAAAAAGACAATTAATTACCTGCCTGAGGTATATTTACTGCCTACAGCTACAACGAATCATAAAGTTGGGCAGTATATTATTACCCGTGCTAGGAGCAGACTTTGTCTAATAAGGTCTAAGCCTTACTCTCTGCAGGTAAGCAGAAAGTAGGCAGGGGTGTGGCATGAACGAATTTTTGTATGGAAGAAACCTGGTAGGTGTGGCGGTAACGCCCCCTTTCATTGGATGCATGGTAGAAGATATCTACTCTGTAGCAGAGCCACTGCGAGTTACTACTCGCATAAGTATCTACTCACAACGGAGTAGATAGTAGGTATCACTAGTCGAGATAAGGACATGCAAGTCCCGAAAACGCGCAAGCAGCTGCAGGCCGCTCGGACTTCCTTTCCCTGTTCTACTTAGTTCTAGAGCGGCAAGAGTCAATCGCGCATGAGTTGGTCAGGGTCTTGCTCGGCCCTACGGACTAGTGGGGTAGCCATTTGATTAATGACTGCCGCTTCTTCCGAGTTTATTTCTTTCGTCCACGTTTTCCTCTCTGCCTGGCGTATAAATAATCTCTCTTCTCTCCTCCCTTGATGATAGACTTGATTGATTCATACATACATGATTCATACATACCATGTCGCAAGCGCCGACTTTCAACAAACCTTCCACTCCATCTAATCAGGGGAGTATCCAAGAGGAACAGTCGATCTCGCAGCAAAAAAATTCTGAGCATGAGGCTCTCCTGCCCGATAGAGGGCCACGGGGGCCTCCAAACGCTCCTATGGTCATATTTTGTATCTCCTGTATCACTTTTATTGGTTCTTATCTAGGTGGTCTTGTCACCGTGTCTGTTCCACAAATCTCCTCGGATCTACACCTAAGTCCTGGAGTGGAGTTATGGTGTGTTACAAATCTTTGCGTTGTGGTCGCGTCAAACAGAAGACAGAACTGACAAAGAGATGAAATAGGCCAGTATCAATGTTCGCCCTGGGAACAGGTTGCACACTCCTCATTTCGGGTGCCATCTCCGATGCGGTAGGCAGTAAAGCAACTCTGCTCGCGGGATGCTTTCTACAGAGTGTTTCCTCGATGGCCTGTGGCCTCGCTCAAAGCGGAACCCAACTTATCATCTTCAGAATCATTTCTGGTGTCGCGGCCTCACTCTGTATGCCGTCTGCCATGAGCATCATTGCTGAGCACTTCCTATCCGGAAAGCTCAGGAATCTTGCCTTTGCTCTGATGGGATCGGGTCAACCCATCGGATTCGGCGTCGGACTTCTTCTGGGTGGTGTTTTTGCAGACACTGTGAGCTGGCGCTGGGGCTTTCACAGCGCAGCGATTGCCAATACCTCGGTCTTGCTCCTATCGGTACGGCAATTGCCCGCCAGCAGGACCTCTGAGCAACAGGGTGTTTCATGGCGTAATTTCTTCTTTGGGATTGACTGGATCGGAGCTCTTACTGCAAGTGCTGCGCTGGCTCTACTCTCATATGCTTTAGCGTTCGTATAACCCAAGGTCGAGTTGACATGAAAAAACATCACTAACTTGGATTACTCACTATATTAGGGTCATTACAGATAATGTATCAAAGATTCATGAATCAAGCACCATTATATTTTTCTGCCTGTCTATCATTCTTATGTCCTTCTTCGCTTTCTGGCAAGGTCAACAAGAGCATCGATCTCGGCCCACCTTAATCAAAAATTCGTTGTGGAAGAACTCAGCCTTCACCTGCATCTGCGCCAGCGTATTCCTCATCTGGGGTGCTTTCAATGCTTTTGAGCAAATAGCCAACTTCTTCTTCCAAGACGTTCAGCAACTCTCCGTATTCAGTACTTCAGTACGCTTCATCCCAGTGACTGTCATGGGCGTACTCACAAGCCTGGTCACTGGCATGATTTTGCATCGAGTGCGCGCAGACTCCCTGATCAACTGGGCCACTATTCTCTCATCCCTCTCACCGCTGCTCATAGCACTTATCAATCCCGCGTGGACATATTGGCGGAGTGCATTCTTTGCCATGTGCCTCAACCCCATCGCGGCTGATGTTCTATTTACGGTTTCGACCATTCTTATTACTGGGATGTTTCCTGTGGAGACACAGGGGCTGGCTGCGGGCGTGTTCAATACAGTGTCACAGTTTGGTCGAAGCATTGGATTGGCATTGGTGGCGTTGATCGCAAATAGCGTCACTGATAAGTACGCTCAATCGGAGAACAAGGAGAGTCCGGGGGCACTGATGGTGGGCTATCGGGCGGCTTTTTGGTTCCTTTTTGTGATGAATATCGTCAGTTTGGTGGTGAGTTCGATCGGGTTGCGGAAGATCGGGAATGTGGGACAGAAAAGGTCTTTGGGGGTCTAAGTCTTCGCGGGCATTACTGTCTGTGAGATTCATAGAAATCAATCAGTAGATAGAACATAAACAGATGATAGAGAACCAAAAGCAGTATTTATAGTCACGATGCTCTGGAATAAATATTATGACGGATATCCTGCCACTCGCAAGCTGTTGACAACAAACATGATTCTATTTAGCCAATCGCCAATAGGAGTTTCCCAGAGCAATAGCTCCCTACAACTTCGCCCTATTCTGACCCCTCTTCAATCTCAACCAATACTCATCCTTGGCCTTCAAAATCTCAAATGCCTCATCGGCCCACCTATCCTCGAAGGGGGCCAATCCAGCACCCTCACCCGCAATCTCCAACAACGCCTCAAAATACTCCCTAAAATCCGGCTTGATTTCATGGAACGCAACCCCATTCCCTTTAATTTTCAGTCTCTCGAATTCCCACCGATCCTGCTCCGCCTGACTCGGCAGCTCCTTTGCCTGGCCAGAGAAATACCTCGCCACCGCAACAGCCTGGTACTCGTAGACGCGGAAGCTGAGAGCAGCACGCACCTGGCCCACCAGAGCCAGTGAGGGGTCCGAGATGCGGAAAACATGCTGGTAAAAGCCCGCGACGCGGTTATTAGCCGTGACGGGGTCCGGGACAAGGAAGGGGTAGGACGCGGTGTAGCCTGTGGCGAAGATGACTCGGTCGAGTGATTCAAGTTTAGTGCCGTCGGTGAAGTGGGCTGTTACGGTATTGTTTGTGCTTCCTGATGCCGTGGTAGGTTCGAGGCGAGATAGAGTGGGCTTGCGCTCGACGTTGGGCAGGGTCCAGGCATTCTCGAGGGCGGGGTTGATTCCGCGTTGGCTGATGTAGAGAGGTCCGGAGACGATCTCATGGAGCTCGGTGACAAGGTCAGCGGCAGAGACGTTGCCGCCAATGATGAGGACTCGCTTGTTTACGTAGTTGTCGGCGTGGCGAAAGGCTTTGGCGTGTTCGAAGGCGTGGGGGTGTGTTAAGGCTGTAGTGGATAGGCCTGGGATGGATGGGATGGAAGGCACGTTGTAGTGACCTGAAGCGATAATTACGGCGTCGAAAGTCTCGGTCCACCAGTAGTCTTGGGGTAGGCCGCGGTAGAGCTGGCCCGTTTTACGGAGGGTCAGGGTCCATTCGTGGCCGGTTCTCTCGACCCGTTCGACTGTCGTGCTTAGCGAGACTAGGTGCAGGTAGGGAATGAAGAGGTCCTCCAGGTAGTTGGCCACGGTACGGAACGGGCGGGAGGCATTAGATGGGCCGAAGGTTTTGATTGAGGTTGATGAGTTGATTTCGGGAAATGGTGTGTGGGTGAAAGCCATTGTTTTGGCACCGACATTGCTGTCGAGGTGGGAGTAAATCCCTGTTCTGGCACTGGTGTCTTCCGGGCGTGGAGAGGTGAACTGGGGAAGACTGGTGGGAATGTTGGGAGTCTGTGATGGGCTACCGGGGGCATGAAACGGGTCTGGGGCTGGGTCATAGTGCCAGATGCCTCCTACACGGTCGCGCCTCTCGAAGACCCGAATTTTGTCAAAGGTATTCTCGTCATGGAGAGCCTTGACGGCGGAGAGGCCTGAAGGGCCTGTGCCAATGACAGCAATTCGACGATATCTAGGTGTCATGTTTGCATTTGCAGATTGATGTGACGCGGTATACAGATACATCCTACAGCCCTCACATCGGTATATATACTGGTAGTTGTGCGGGGAAATCATTCCTTGGAGACATCATGTTGCGTGCTATTGCCGTTGCGTGATCGACGCTAGAATGAGCCATGCAGTTGGTTTGCCGGCCGTAGGCAGATTCGGGGACGATAAGTGGTCAATGGCATACCAAATCTTTCGGCAGATGGTGTCATCGGGATTGCTATCTCTACTTTTACGCAATACCTCGACTGTGACTGATAGTCTAGAAGTGATTACTCTATACATTTTCTCCATGAGGGTTATAGTGACCCCGTGATATCCTTCTCTGAATCCGCTGTCTAAAAAGACATGTGATGCCTTAGGCAGAAATCACTCTTGCTTCCCCGATATCATTGGTTTTTATTCTTGTCTGTTACTTCCGTGCGGCGTGAGTAGTCGGCTGTTGCAAAAAATAAGTGAATGTCCGGGATCTGCTCCTGGCCACTTCTCTAGCAGAGCACCGCGATCTCTAAACCTTGAAACATCCGCAAGCATAGCTTAAAAATAAGTTTATATCCGTACCAGTCTTATCTCGCAAATGGATCCACTCGGGGGTTCGAAGACGGAAATCCGGATCAATCGAAAGACATCTGACCCCATTTCGGCATGCCGACCGGAATTTGCACAGCATGCACTCGTTTCGGGCCTCGAAATCGGCAAGCAACCATTCTAGAAGCTCATGTGTACATAAGCCCACGGCTACCGAACATGTAGACTATCACAAAAGATTGTTCGCAACACCATGGCAGACACACAGCAAATCACCGGACGCGCCCTGGTCTCTCACGGCCCCTACCAGGCCGGCGGTTGGAAGCTCCAGAACGTCTCCCTGCGACCCCTGCGAAAGAACGAACTGCTTGTTGAAGTTGTTGCCTCAGGTGTCTGCCAGACTGATCTGCATTTTGCTGGTTTGGACAGTGGTCATGGCGTACATTATCCGCGGGTGATGGGTCACGAAGGTATTTACTCCCTTCCTTTCTGCTAATACGTTTGTAAGAGAAGCTGATGATCTGACGAATGATTCCTCGATAGGTGCCGGATATGTTCGGCAGGTCGGGCCCAACGTTACCGTAGCCCGAGTCGGCGACCCAGTGCTCTTATCATTCTCCGCATGCCAGACCTGCCAATGCTGTCGTCGAGATCATCCTGCGCACTGTCACAGTTTTGATCCTATTAATTTCGAGTCCACTCCAGCAAACCGCGTCTTCTGGGGTGCAGATGCGGGATTATCAACACAATCTACGGAGCCGGACATCTTCGGACAGTTCTTCGGCCAATCGAGCTTTGCTAGCTGTACACTAGTGCAGGAGGAATCGGTGGTGAATGTCTCCGGGCTGGTGGAGGGAAGGGAGGACCTTCAGCTGCTGGCACCATTGGGATGTGGCGTCCAGACAGGTGCGGGTGCGGTCATCAAGGCAGCAAACGCACAGCCCGGGGACACTGTAGCTGTTCTCGGGTTGGGAGGTGTTGGGTTGAGTGCGGTGATGGGAGCGCGTATCGCTGGTTGCAGGACAATCATCGGTGTGGCGCGAAATCAGGCCCGTCTTGAGTTGGCGCTGGCGCTTGGGGCAACGCATGTTGTTCGAATCGATCCGAATGCTGATGAACATCATGTAACACAGGCGGTTCGTGTCCTTACTGATGGTCTGGGCTCAGACGTGACGTTGGAAACTACAGGGGTGCCGAAGTTGATCGCCGAGGGCATTCGCATGACAGCTAACAAGGGGAGGATTGTTCAGCTTGGAACAGCACCAGAAAACGCAGTGCTTAGTCTTCCGGTTCATGAGTTCATGGTCGCTGGAAAGCAATATATTGGGGTCGTGGAGGGAGACGTTGTTCCTCGAGAATTTGTGCCTAAGATGATTGAGTGGGTCAAGACGGGACTACTACCATTGCATGAGATGGTGGGCTTTTATCAAGCAGAGGACTACGGGACAGCGATAAGCGACATGAAGAGTGGGAAGACCATCAAACCGGTTCTTTTATGGTAAATATACTGTTTGGCCTTTCTGTCCACTTTGTGCTTCCTACTATCTTCCTTAATCCCTATCTATCTCATAGCAGACGAAATATATACATTATACTCCATACGTTTCCCAGTATCGGCAGCCACCAAATATTGATCTGCTATATACTTTACTATTGCAGCACTGAATCTCGCATCTTCGTTAAATATGAAACATATAGCGGTGAACTCCAAAAGGTCCTCTTACTCACTCTGATACAGAAGATGGAGATTCAAACGCCTCCTGATGATTCAGTTCAGTTGTTTTTAGAGTCTGCCCGCTTTAATGATTAGTCTGGTTGGAATATGTTAAATAAGAGACCAAAAAACTGTTGTTCCCTGCCAATTGAAGCAGGGGTGACGTGAAAGCGAGATAGAAGTGAGCCAGATGTGAATAGCCATACAGTGGTACGGTCTTTTCTTATATGTTTCAATAACGAGATTTAACCGATTGCATGATCAAGTAGCAACTTAGCCTAGCTTTAACTACCAAAGCTTCCCCCCCCCCCCTATTTTTTTTCTCCACAGAAAGCTATGCCGAGCGTGTACACGGTGTTGGTATCTCAGCTTGGTCTAGCCGACAGACATGGCCCACCGACCGCGGAGACGAAGCCGCGAGTTTAACATCGATCTAAGCATAAAGACTACTGTCAATTCAGGATCCCTCCTTATATAGTCAACAGATACAAGAACCTGGTCCAGATAACTGATGTAACTGGAGCTAATTCAGGGCTAAGGGGCCGATGATCAAGGGTCTCCTATGACCCTTCCGTGTCCTATCAATCAGTTCACATCCGGTCGTTGACTCCCTTAGACCCTTGAAACACTCCGTCTGTTCGACCCACTCCTAGGAGATGCGAAGACGGCTGCACAGCCAGTGTAAGGGCCCATAACGTGCGGGAAGTGTGCTTAGATACGTAATCGGGCCGCCGATCTTTCCCCGTACTCCTCGGTCTATCTGCGTGACAGATTCTCCTTCGCGAGCCGAATCTGAAGCTTAACGGCGAGTGGACCTGAACCAGGAGTGACTACTAGCATTCCGATATAATATAACTGGAAGCTCAGTCCCCAACAGAAGAGGTTGAACCAAATACTTTGCCTGTTTCCGACTTGGTTACCAAGTACACTCACGTGCCCCAGGAACACCTTTCTGATTTCCCATTTAGCATCATGAAATGGGCTACTATACTCTCCATTGCAGCTACAACGTTCGCATGTGGTAGCACGGCCTTTACACCCATCACCAATCGTACCAACACCGGGGTGGAATATGTGTCTGGCAACTATGTCCCCTTTCAACCCGGCT